ATCATGATGATTAAGTAGGTCCGTGCCGATGATGGGCATTGTGACGTCAGCGATTAGGAAAATCCACTGAATAGGTTTGCGTAAACCTACGTTCAGATAGACATATTTCCGACCATAGGTTGCAATTGGTTTTCCATTTGCAGCCTGTAGGTTGAAGTTAGGATCCTTCTGTCAATCTGCTGCTGTAGCAGGAAGGACGCTGACTTCGGCGCCTGTGTCGACTAGATATCTAGTCTGGCTCATTACATCATGGATGTAAAGTAAGCGGCTAGTGCCACCGGCGACGGTTGCCGCTAACGCGTGCCGGCGGGATAGTTTCCCACAGACTTGGAGGCTTTGCCGAAATCACAAGGTTTTCAGTAGCTCACCCAAATTATTAAGAGTCATATTTGCAGTAACAATATGTCTGGACGAGAAAAAAGTTAATTAACTTGTCCGTCTATTAACATCTACGCGTAGGACTCAGTTTACATACAAAGCTTACAGCACCCTTATGAATGCTTCACCAAACAACAAATTATCAACAACACACTAGCACCTTACAACAGAAAATCGGAGGATTAAAAAATAAATGCACTAGAAAACAAGACACAATAAGACAAAATAAAATGGAAGTGTTCACGCCAGAATAGTAATACCTGGGTGAGCGAAGTTTACAATTTACAAATATTTCCGCTAATTTTAGAATTACCGGAAGTATTTAAATAAATGTCGACACCTCAAATGGATTTCTTCAAGTGGATTTTCAAATCTGCGGTCCTGCTACGTATGCGTTTGATATTTTATTTCTGATTGTTGAACTTTCTCCTGATTCTTTTTTACTCTTAACTGGAAAACTTCTAAAATCGGTGGTCTGTAGCCAAAATAAGTTGATTATGGACTGATAACTTTCTTGAGTTTAATAAGCCTAATGTTTGAAAGCGCTCAATGAAACATATTTATTAGATTGTGCTTTTTCATGGTATGGTCAGTCTCTTGTGCACTACCTTGAGTAGCACTAGGTAACTGCGCACTCCATATGATCAACAACAGTTTGGGAATACGCTGCTACTTGTGCTATCGGAGACAGCTTTACCGGAACAAAGGTTAATTATCAACAGGATAAAATCAGACAAAACAAATGTTTTCGAGAGCAGTAACTATCAATGGCACACTGCATTCGCCCATTAGTAGTCGTACGATTAACTTCGCTATGCTCTGTCTGTAATAGTACCTCCGAAAATTTCTCAAGGTAGAAGGGTAATGCAAAGCAGTAAACCATGATGGTAAATAATCCTGTAAAATAACGGCCAACTGTCTCACCATCATTCACCAATGGTTACTGATACTCACTTTTTAACTTGACTGGTTAGGCTGAAGGTGGGTGGTGAAAGACCCGTGCATTCTGTCATGCAGTCGTGTTACATTTTGTTGTTTTGCACGATATACTTTTAGCTAGACATATATGAAGACTACATCACCAGTCCTGAAATGTATTTCGTACCCTGAACGATCCACTTGCTGTTCTAATTTGGCTCGCTGACTGTTTTCTGATCCATGTAAAGCAAGTACATTTGTTTTGGAAGAAATTAAACGCATAACGTGCTGCCATCTTGTCTTCCGGTACACAAGCAGCCAAAATTTCATTGAACCTATGAAGCGAAGACGGGTGGTTGCAAGCTTGATGGAAATGCAGTCGTTAAACAGTTCGCAGGACGAAATCTGGGCCTTCACATTTTGGTAGTAAGAACAAATACCATTTCGTATTCCATAATATTCGCTCCCCTAAATTATGCGCTCATTCAAATATCCTGCCACAGGATATAGCAATAATCCTTTTCAGTGGTCTACTGTAGGTTAACGTACAATACCCTACCCAGGGGGTTCAGTAGACTTTTCCAGAGGTATTTCTTTTTTTCATATTGGCGAAATGAACAGTATTGCTACGAAAATGTTTACATAATTATGCATAATTATTGTGTAAATTTCTAGGAAACTGGGAACCATAACTGCAGTCAACCAATTAGATCAAAGGTCTGAGTTACATGTAAAGTTCAAAACACAGGCTTTGTCTAAAATAAAGTACTGTATTAAACGTAAAAACCAAAACAATTCCAACAGTTGGTGGGAACACGGGCAGTATTTTGCCCGAAATATTACCAATAACAAAAACGTATCATTGTGTATAAACCATCACAATATAATCATACTTTATTTGATAAAAATAATAAATATAACAAACAAACCTTAAGTTGTAAGGTGTCTAGGTCATATGCTATTTAAAAACACTGTGACTGCGAGTTAATAGGTAAAAACTGCAAGTGTGTCAAAGGAATCCGCAGTTAATACTAAACAGCGTGAGAATGTACAGATCAAGAATAAAGAGGTTCGAATAAGCAATGTTCAACAGACAGTGGTACGTACAGGAAATGTGTATACAATAAATGAGATAAATCCCAATGGAAATCAATAATTATAATTACGGAGTAATAGAATCGTAAACAAAATATAATTTATACTACTTACTATTAAAAAGTAGTATAAAGTTAACAAATATGGAATGGAAATAAACAATAAGAAAGAAGAGAATTAACGTATTATGTACCAAACTGCTATTTTCAGTAGTTTTAAGAGAGATGTGTTATTAGCCTCACTCCAAGTTTTTCCTCCTTTTCCAAGCCTACTACTGGCTAGGTTTGGTAGTGCATCGGTTTGAAATCGACGCCGGACCTCCCACGTTGCTGGCGAGCTTTCTACTAATAAACATTTTTTTCAATATGAGACGATATCTATAGTATTTCTTCTATGTTAATAACCTTATCAACCTACAGCCCTATGACTCTTAGTAGTAAACCAGTCAGATATGGCAAATGATTCTACTGTTCTTGTTTAGGCTGATTCAAATGAACTATAATGCTGCAATTAGTTCCAGTCAAATGGATCATTTCAGGAAAAAAGATAAAAATTCTTGGTAATTTACATACACTGTATTTTAGAGTATTGGTTCGACCCCTGGCTGTGGTTATGGTCACTCACTAATGAAGATTCACAAGACAGGACAGAACAGTTATCCACTGCTATCTGGTTTTCAGTAATCTCTTAGTGATGCTGATTCGTGACGAAATCTAGCAAGTGAAATTAAATAAATTGAAGTGTTACATCAGAAGATGATAATAGTTATTTTTTATCAGATTTTTCGTTCACTTGACTCTTTTGTAAGTTTCATTCAGACTATTATTAAATCTGTTAGAATTTGGCAGCTATGCCAGTCAGAAAATATTGGTCTACAGAATTCTGAAGCCCGAATGTCAGGTGAACCTTTAAGCATTTAATTTGTCATTAAGTTGGCAGTCCTTTCATGGCGTCCTAAAGATGATTCCTGTCATAATATTCACGTTTTCATGTTCTACAATGTGCTAACGCTATACTCAGTAAAAGGCGAACAAAGTTCTTTTAAGAAGCACAGGTGAAAACTTGAAAAGATGTACTGTTGACGAAATGGAATTTCGAAAAACGCTAAAACGAACAAAAGGTGTATAACCGCGTAAAAATACATATGGAACAAAGAAAAGCAATGTTCAGTAATACAATGGCGAATATTCCACAAGCATATGTATAATTAGTTTCTGTAAGTGTATAACAAGTGCTTATGAATTAGTTAAATAAGCGTACAATTAGGCTTAATATAGAGGTGCTACATTTTGACTGAATCTTACGTTTGTGAGTTTTAGGACCAATTCAAGCTTCCAACCTGGACTGAATGTTACATGTCTTCATATGTTCCTCGATTTATATAACTTGATCAGAAAATGTTGAGTTGCCAAAGATGAGTGTACATCTATTCTCACACTCTCACAGCTGCAAATACAATTATATATATATATATATATATATATATATCAGATCCATTACACTAAGGTGTAATATAACAATTGCATTTACTGACCCAGAAGAACCGGATTATACGCTTAAGCACTTAAAAATATCTTGTCCTACAAATTATACTGATAAATTCATATAAAATTCGTAGGTCTCGTGTGTCTATCACCGTTTGGAATGTAGTAGAAAATCTCAATTTGAATCTGTTTCACTGCACAATTTACTTCTAAACAAACTATTAGCTCTGATATGTTCCTGTGATGTTTTCCCTATTTGGTTATAATGTATAAATTATGATTGTTTTGTCTTTCTAAGTACAGTTTCATAAAGCTCAGTTTTACTCCAGTGGTTACAAATAATGGAAACAGTGCACTTACATAGGCTCTGAATATTTTTGCACAAGGAACAGATTGTCCGGAAAGCTTTACTATAAAAGCACTAAAAATGAAGGCTTATCAAGTTGCATGTTCTCATATTTTGTGGCTGAAAACCCTGAAGCTATGATGGCGATGAAATAAAAAAATCACACGTAACCAGCCAGGTAGTCTCACACCCCATTTTTCTGATGACTTCGGTAAGTATTTAATGACTGCAAAAGGAATTGAAATCAAAGAGGCTGAAGTCCTTTTCCTTCAGGAGCAGCAATTACTCCATGCAGCTTTTTTTCAGTAGTCGATAGGTTCATTGGAATTCTTGCAGAAATAAATATAGTCAGAATTATTTTAGTGACTCTGAAGATAAAACAAATGTAGTAAATAGTACTCTATAAATCCTCTAGTTGTCTTATTGTCATTCTAGGTATTACAGATCTCTGTCGACCTCATATAATTGGTAGTTGATTTTACTAACATCTATCAGTTAACAGTGTGTTTGCAAGTTATTGTTAAATGAAAATACTTTTAGTTTCCCAACAGGAAACTAGAAATCCTCTAAATTCAATTAGTAACTAACTAAGTATTCCGTTCACTGTCCAACAGTGAAACTTTAAATAATTAAGATATGAAGTGTAAATAATAAATTCATTTTATAGGGTTATATTTCACCCAATAATATATTTATGTATAAATAAATGCAATTATTTTCCTTTACAAGTGAGAAAACAAATAAAGCAATGAAGTAAACAAGAAATATTACTTAGTCAGCTAGAAATTGAGTAGTATCGTCAACATGTCTTTAACATTATTATGGTCATTATGTATGTACTTATATTGTGTAAGTATTAACCAATATGGAAATTTATTATATTTCCTTTTTGTGTAACCTTCAGTTTTGTTCATTGATTTTATTTGTTTGTATTTTTTGTTACATTTTTAAACACAATTGTTCTTTAGTTTATTTTTTATTTATAAAGGACAACATTTAATGGTCGGTTGTTACATTCGATATCGAAGTACTGAACTGATGATACCGTTAGAATGCTGATTTGAGTGTATGCCTTGAAATCCATCTCTTGTTGTTCTACACCATTCTGAAGGTGTTGAGTCTTCTGAATTTTCCTAAAGAAAGGAAAAGTCATGGATAATTTATACATAACAAATTTATCACTAAAAAATTGATTATCTTATCAAATGAACACAGTAATGACAATACACCATCAGTAAAGTAATTATATAAAGTATTTCTACTTACCATTATTAAATGAACTGTTAAATTTTAAATATTAATAGTAAGAAACGCCATCTAACCTGAATTTCTTAGTTCTTGGTGTATATGAAACTTTCAGAAAATTCGTTATCTTTCAAGGTGTACAAATGGTGTACTCATTGAAAGTCTAGAATTTTTTACCACAGTAGTATAGTCCTTGATTTAGATGATGATTGGTGCAACTTTCTGACTTGGAAATCACAGTAATTTCTTCATTGTGAGAGATATCTCTTGCTGAAAGCTGACCCCTACATATTGATGACTCCTAACGCATAAAGTACAATGAAGGGAACCATAACATCTTTCAGTTAACAGAAGGCACTGTACAACTACACTAATTATCACCCAAAGACGGATTCTCATGACTTGAAATATTTTGCAACATAAGAAATCTTTCTCTTAAATATCTACTAATTATATGCTTGTGATATAAATTGAAAAGCCAAAGGTCAAAAAAGAATATTCTTCTCGTAACTTCTCTTCAAAGCTATACAGTTATTTGATGTTTTAAAAGGTCATGCAAATACCTATGAATGTTGATTACTAATATTAATGGGTAACAAAACATACATAGTCTTATATAATCTGACAACACTAAGCAGTGAATGGCATTAATAAATTGTTATCATTAAAAACTGTAAGCTATTGAAAATGAGAATATTATTCGTAAGAGTAAGAGATTCAGGATATGTGTAAAGCCAGAAACTCTTCAGCTACATCTTCTGTATATAGAGGAAGATGTTGTCAAACATAGGGAAAACCTTGGAAAGTCTGTTCAGCCCCTTTTCTGCTACGAATGTGTAAAAGACTAGCTGGACTATTCAGTGGTATTTCACAGTAAACTTTACATCTTATGTGGTGCTTTGTATAAGTACCAGTTACATTAAACAATAATGTTTTGATAAATCTCATAAGTAAATTCCTAAAAAATTAAAACAACAGATATGATACAGAAACATGAATGAGAATGGGATTGCTTGATTACTATGTGATTTCCTTTCATATCTGACCTTCATATAGATTTACGTTTGAAAATAATTCATACCGGTATATATGTATGTGTACACGACTAAACAACCAGCTCCTTACTGTCTCATTCATAAATGAACATTAGAAAACGACATTTCAACTAACACTTTTCCTTGGAGTCCCGAGTGGAACATAGGACTTCAAGCTTGAGCTTTAAAGTCTCAGTAGCAGTGGTGTTTTTTGCGGAGTGGGGTTGCTAGCCTCCCACACAACCTCCCTTCATTGTTGAGATTGAAACTAGCTGAGGAAAGCAAAGGAGTGCGCCAGCCGGGACTCAAACGCCGGGCCATATGCATGGTTGGCTGGCACTTGACCACTCTTAAGCTAACACCACTATCCTCAATTAAATATCCCTCGAAAAACCCACTCATTCTAATAAGCACTGGAAGCAAAACTGAATTCACCAATCAATGAAAGATACCAGTAAGGCTTTCTTTTCCTCAAAGATAATTTATTCTGGAAACAAACTTATTTTTAACTTATTTTTATAGCCATTGCTAAAAAATAATCTTATTTTTGTGATTTAATTACTGTTTAAAAAATCACTAATTTTAATATTAATACCTAATGAAAATCTTAGTTAATTACAGCACACTGATTAAATTTTCAATAAATCCTAGAAGTGAAATTATAATAGGATGTTTTTATTGCAACTCATTAAGATGATGCAGTTAAATTCACCTGTTAGTTCTTTTATCTACCTGTATTTATGCATAGAACAGTATTTGAATATTAAATTTGCTTTCCTTAATCTCTAAGTTAAATAATCACTTTGCTACATCTTGTTCTGAATTGTAGCTGATATTGCTATCATTGTGGGATGAAGGTTCTTAAATGTTATTGCAAGCCAGTGGTCTAAACCATGCAGCGTTGGAAATGGATGCCAATCGATGGCATTGGTTGACAGTGGAGTTATATTATGAACTTATAGAAGTTAGAATTCGTGGATCTTTGGATTCCAGCCCAGTGGTCGAGTGGTCCTGACTTTGATTCTTGGAATGCCACTAGTGCATACTACTAGAGTCCTGAACTAAGACGAAATAGCTATCCAGTGCTTGACGGTTTTCAGTGATCCTCTATCTAATGTAATCTCATGGCGAAATCTAGATTATTAAAAATCAGTATAAACCTGTCGTAGTTAGTTATTTCAGGTTAATATAAAAATGTTTAATCTGCTCATTCAAATGAATATGAGTAGTAGACGATTTGTTAAATTTAAATAAACCGCTTTTATCAGAGTTGAAAGTGAAACCTGGAAGCTGAAGCTATAATATTTGAAGTTGCACTTGCAGTGCTCTTCCATTTGTTAAAACTCGACTAGAAGTACAACTTCACAAGTATATATATATATATGTATATATATGAGCAAATAAAAATAACAGTGCGTTGAATGACTATCCCTTTTAGCTTCGAATACTTCGAGAATGCAAACTGATGAATGAATGAGGAATCGATCTAGAAGAAATCATATCATATGATGAGTATGGCACTATGTAACCAACCACCTGGAACTCAGCGTAACAATTCCCCCAAATTCTGCTACTTCACCATATGACATGACAGCTACCCAGTCTTTTAGCGTTGACACACTTAAACCTGGAGGAAGTTTTTGAGTTGTGACAGTTACGTACGAAAAAGTTAGCTACAGAATCATTAGTCAGAAACTAAAACTTATTTTAATTTCATACTATTAACATCTGTCTGTTGTATTCAAATTTTTATTTTCACAAAACTGTTATTTTTACTAAGAGTTTAAACTTCATGAGAGGTTTATGGATAAATTTTCAGTAAATTTTACTCCTACCATTGCGTTCTTATTGAAACTGATATTAATTCATTCAGCGCTGTCTTAACCCTCCAAAGAAATAAACATATGAAGAGAAACCGTTTATGTGAAACTGAAACTGCTGAAATGCGAGTATTCAAAAGTTAATTATTTGAAGAGGGATAAATAATAACCAAGTGTTTTCAAAAATTTGAATTTTCATTGTAGCGAATGGTAACACAAAGGAGGAATCGACTAAATTCGATCGAAACGTATGCATACTAAACAAGATTATGGTACTAATACCGGTAAAAATGATTGCATTTCTGAAATGAAATCTCTTTCGTGACAATTAGACATCACAAATTCTCTAGTCAACAATTCAGGTTGAATTTCTACCGACCCAGCAACATTAAATACTGTGGTTAGTCAAAAAAAAGTTTGTTACAAAAATGTTTAACACACTGAATTCATTCACTTATAGAATTCCATTTGTACAATAAAATTTCTGTGGAAAACAATTAGTCAAGATTCTATGTTTTTCAAAAAAGTAAGCTCTTCAAACTGTATGATTCTGGTAATGAAATGGTTGTAAAGATGAAACATGCATTCAAACAGACAATATTTTCACGTAACACTAATTTCACTTTATTTTCACTTGCAGTTGCTTCTGAGATATGGAAGCTGGAGTGACAGGGGATTAAATTTTTGCAGAAATCTAAATTAATCCTTAACTAGCTTTTATCATGAATGCGTTTTAACAGGAAAATCATTGAAGATGCAGAAGTGTTGGATAATTGCTTCGTCGCAGCCTGGCGCTTTCTAGCATTGCAATGTACGCTACTTCATATACGAGCAATTCTAAGTCGGCTAGGTTTTACGTTAAGAGCATTATTGTTAAGTCGACATTTAATTGCTCATATTTCCCGAATTGTTTTAATTCGTGATTTCGCATTAGCATTTCTCAACACAGATTACTTCTTATATAAAAATCTGTTTTAACTATTAACATCTAGCGAGCTAAATAATGGTAGACTTTAATTATAAAGCCAGTCTGTTCTTTAATACACTTGACTTTATTTCATAACAAATCTGTTACGCAATTAGAAAAAAAGCGTGAACTTTAAAAAAATATAACACATATTCGCTCATTTCTTTTTTTATTTAATTGAACTAAAGTGTATGTGTGTGAAGAAGAAGAAAGGTGTTTCCATTTAACTAAGTTTTAATTCATGTAAACACGCAAAAACAACAAACATGCAGAAGAAAGGATGCTGTATGATACATGAAAGAATATAGTGGAACAGAACATATGGTCTGTGTACTCATTGTCATAATTATCATCATCATCATCATTATCAGTAGTAGTTTCAAAGTTCCTGCTACTACTACTCTACTAACGAAAAGGTGAAAATAACGGCTTTTTAAAAGAGAGTAACCAGATGGTGAACACATTCCTATCCTAAAGTGTAATATTCCATCTATGCATAGATTTTCTCTCTATTATTTTCTGTCGAACAGATATGACCATGCAGAATATTTTATGAAGTATGAATGAATGAACACTTTATTATCATTTTTTTATATTTTCTTCAGCATCTTCAACATTCAAAGCACAATCACTGTAAAACGGTTACATAACTATACTCTATGCTTAGAAAATGAAACAATAAAAACAGAATGATTCAATCAGAATACTCGTTCATGTGTATATGTATGTTATAAATATTCTAAATTAGTATAAGTGGAGAATTCGGCTGAATGTCTCTGTGAATGCTTAAACACAGACATGCAAACACTCATATACACACGTGGACATCCTTTATGAGTTATCCAACAGTGAGATGCGTAAAATAACCATCTGTTAATAAATTTCCCTATAAAGTTATTGACCTGATACATTATTAAGATATTTTCTTACATTGAAATGCTTAAAACAAAAAGACTTTTTTTCCACTTATTTCTTTTGTTAAATTGTCACTTAATATTCCTGGAAAGTATTATATTCCCGTAGAAAAGTAGCCATCAATTAATTGTTTTTCATCACAAACTGATAACAACTCAACAGTAATTAGCTGGTTACTTTAAGATAATCAGATAATCAAAAGAAATAAATTCATCTACTTATGTTCGACGCTGTCTGTCCATGAAGGTCTGAAGAAACAAATACATGGATGTAACATGGTGACAATTTTGTCACTGAGCCAGGGAAAAGTGACGATTCTTGGTTAGATAAAGAACGAATTCATAGTTGTTCGTTTCTATTCGACGCTGACTGATTTCTAAAGATTCCCTAGAATTTTCACTCATTACCGAAACTAGCTTTAAATCAGTCGATTATCCCAAATAAAGTAATTTGCCTAGTTATCTAATAATTCAGTGCTCTACCTAACCTGTAAGTACCAACAACAAAACGCAAATTAAAAAGACATAGTTATTAAGGAAATATGCTCTGGTTAGCAGTATATTTTAGTAAAATAAAGGCTAAATATTATCGAAGAAAAAAGGTCTAGAACTAATCTAACGAACAAACCCAAAGAATGTGCATGTTGACATCACAAGGAAAAAGCGCAAAATGCCGCTGAAGCCAGTTTGTTTATGTACACATTCAGACAAAGTCTTAAAACATCGGAAATTGCTCTACAAACCCATGAAAACGAGAGTAGCCTTTCAAGCTTATTGGTAAAATTAAATTGGTTCTAGAGAAAAATCTTTTCTATCATGACTAACTTCTTTGTGTTTTATCGGAGTAGCTATGTGCAGATGCTTCGTGGGCATCCATTGTATAACGCTAATTATAAAAGTCTTATGCTTGTCTGGGCTGTTACGTACTGTAAGTATTGATCTGGACACTATAAAAACAGAATAAAAATTATCGAATTTTACTAAACAATTGAGTAGTGCTCTTTATGTACGTACGTATGAGCGAAATGAAGCAATATTGAATCGGAATTGAAATTAGGGCACTGAGAATAGAAATATTCGCGTGAGTTCCTCTTATGGGCATAGATCAGAAATCCCTATGCAAACTATTAAGTTCTTAGTAATGTCAAGAATATAAGGGTGTATTGCTTCTGTTAAAACTTCTTACTTTGCAAATGCCCCTGAGTGGAAAATTCATTGAGATGTGATGACTATTAGTCAGTTTCAACCTAGTAGTGCTCTAACAGTGACTATTGCGGTGCAATACTAACTCTCGAAGTTATGTAAAAGAGAAACGCTCATGTTTTACTCAAGCCGCACTTTTTCCTGCTTCGTTTCCACAGTTAGACATACAAACAACTAATCAGTCAAAATAAATATTATTGTTTATAAAAAGTCTTGTAGGAAATCTAACGAAACTACATAGCTCAACGTAAATACGATTTAATCAATAGTAATTTCCCGTAATATACTACTCAGTCATCACCCATTACATAAACAGCAGTCTGCCAATTCAAGGTTCGTAATGAAGAGATCACTATTAATTTATCATGGTTCTACTGTTCACTGTAAATAAATCCGACCTCACCTGCCTGGACGTTATGTACTGGGAATGAAGGTAATAGACTCTATCTGAAATCTCATGAAAAAAAGTACTGAAATGAGCTGAACTAAGTAAGTGTTGATTTCCAGTATTCTGTAATTTTCAAGTGTGGGTTTGCAGGGATTTGATTAGTCTCAAGTTTGATCACAATCTGACATAAGTTTGAGAACCGTTAGAAAACCACGGACTACTGGACAGCTATTTCATCCTGGTTTTTGACTCCTCCTCATTACGTATCCATTGGGATTCGAACCCAGGACGCCCCAGCTATAAGGCTAGCTCGTAGACCGACCAGCAGCTGGAACCCAATCAATAGCTCATGAATTCTAATTTCTTTCAAGACAGGTGAGAAGACAGTTACTCACCGCTGACCTTAGCTGGTGGTCGTGGTTTATACTGTAAATCGTGGGTCAAGTCCCAGTGGCTGAGTGGTCAACAAGCTCACCTTGTAATCAGAACAACTTGGGTTCGAAACATGTGGGGTGCATGCCGATGAAGTGTTCTGAGCTAGGACGAAAGGCTGTTTAGTATTCACTTGTTTATCAGCAGTTCTCTAACCGATGTCAGCTTGTGATCAAATATAATTCAAATCTTATTAGGCGATAACTAAATGTGCGGATATTAATTGCGATTCCAACTGCCATTCGAATACTCATCTTTTGATCTCCAACAATGTTTTAATTTATACCCAGAAAAGTAGACACATTTAACTGAAGTCGTTTCTGAACTTACCAATTGTGAATAGCGATTTGAAAATATAGAATTTGTTGAACTGATTGGAATAGTTGTTAAATTAGATTGTGTCTCATCAGATATTGATGAACTTTCAATCTCTGTATTTGGCATAAACCTAGACATACTGGACGGTGAGGATGACGGATTGGCTTCATTCAAATGCATGAACTCATTTATTTGATTATTGTAGACATTTGATTTATCACACTCGTTGTTTGATGGGGTATTATTACAATGTGTGTTACTTCCTTCATACTCTAATTGTCCATTTGCTGTACTTGCTTCATTTGTAGTATTTATGTAAGATGTTTCTGCAGTATTATGATACATACTACTAATATTACCATTGTTATTAATTTGATTTCTTGTAAAGTGCGACTGTGGAGTATTCCATCCTAATAAACGATTGCCTGATGACGAGGTTGATAATGAAGGTGAAGAGGAGGATACTGATGACAGAGTTGATGAATTTTCCTGGTTTGATATAGTTGCTATTGGATTACTCTTAGAACCATCCACAACTTCACAATAATGACTGTAATTAGTATTCATCTTTGTTAAATTTCCTAAATTTGAAATTTTACTCAGTGTGTTTATGTTGGATGTGGACCCTTGATGAATGATATCATCGACTGAAGATGACATTGATGATAATATACTGCTCACAGTTGTATGTGTACTTGTAGATATATCAGTGGCTAGAGTTATCATACTAGAGTTTATTGAATTTGTATATTCTGAAGAGAATGATGGAATGAGAAATTGTGTGCTGTTATTGTTATTATTGGCATTATCATATGGAAGTACAGTATCCAACTGAAAATGGTCTGAACCTCTTTGTTTTGAAAATTCACAGGCATCATCTGATGTAACAAGTTGATGTTGATGACGTGGTAGTTGTAGGGATTTTCTATTACATACTTCACTAACAAACGGGTCATTAGATGCAACATTTATATTTGGTTCCAGTGAACTTCCAGTTTGTTTTAATTCTTCACAAATATTTTGGCGCTTAAAATGTCTATATGACGGCATAGATGAAAAGTTCAGTCTATAGTTATTATGATGTTGTGTAGAGTAGTCATTTTGTTCACTGGATAAACTGTCAGTTTGTTGCGAGGAATTGATATTTGACAGGATCTTTGAACTGTCAAATGCTGTATGCTCACTGTTTTCATGTGCCGAATTATTCCATTTCATTGGACTGGCTATATTACTTAGTGTATGAGATGATAATTGCCCAGGAGATGAACACATAGGGAAATTAGACTTTATCCCACTGATATCAGAGATTAAGTTTGAATTTGAGGTTTGAAATGTAAACTGATTATTGGACAGTGGAATTGTGGTGTGTGCATGACATATTCCAGCTACAGCGGCTGCCGCTGCCGCCGCAGCAGCTCGTTGCATCAGTGGTCCAGAAGGTAAATCTGTAAGAAGAGAGCCTGGGTGGCTGGAAAAATTTGCTACTGTTGACAAAGACGGTGGTGGTGGGGGCAGTGATGGTGAAGAAGATGAACCAGTTTGATCTAATGACTCATTATTATTTATTGACATTGATGGTAACTCCATGTTGTTAGATATAGGCGAATTAGCTAGAGGGAAAATATGTCTACGTTTACCACTGCAAGTGCTATTATTATTATTATTATTATCATGAGATTGCAGTGGATTATATGGTGAATATGTTGGATTAAATCCTGGAGTGAGTACTTTCCTTGGCATATAAGGCAGATTAGAACCATAATAATTAATAAAAGCATTATTGCCTGTTAAGCCTGATGGGATGCCAAGCGCAGACGTATCAATCAAATTGTTTGGTAATGACATACAAGCGGAATACGCGAAGCCATGATCATTGTTAACACTGTTATTACTGCGATTGTCATCATTATTACTGCTATCAGTGTTACCACTACTGTCAAATAACGTATGACTGTTGCCTGAGAGATTCGTTGGTCCATTATAAATACTTGAATGGCCATAGGGTTGGAAATGCGATCCTTGACCAACTGTATTATATGTATTACGTAAGTTAGGGAATGGCTGACTATACTGAACGTGTTGAAGATGTCTATGTTCATGATGTTGTTGTTGCTGTTGTTGTTTCACTAACTGCTTCTCTTGCTTACGGTATTTAGCTCGCCTATTCTGGAACCAAACCTGCAAAAAATTAAATGAATTTTTATAGCTGTATTCTGTTTCTGAGTATATATATATATATATATATATATATGTATATATATATATATATGTTGGTAATTGTAATGTACATGAAAACTCATTTAAATTTAGACACGTATCAAATTATCATTTCTATACTTTCTTAAAGGGGATTATTGACGAAGTAGAGTTTGAGGGAGCTTAAATTTAGTTGATATCTTTACTGTGTGTAGATGATATCTCCTGTGTAAATTAAACTCAAACCATGCGAAAACTCACTCCTGTTGCACCTTAAAATACACAAACGAACTAGTCATTGTCTCGTTTATCTTCATATTAAAGAGATAAAGTTGGCACTTCACATTTCTTCATTTAGTTAGCATGAAACAATATCTGGAATCTGTTAAAGGCAACTAGTAATCCAGTGTGCATGTATCAGTCACAAAAAGGTCACTAATTCTCCATGAACCAGCGTGTGGATGCATCCTGTGATAATGAATTTAATATGAATACCGAAGATTACCTAGAAGATTAAAAGAACAATTCACCTTATAATAATGATTACATCACAATATTTTATCATTTCAGTACTATCAAAAGTATAACAGGATACAAAGATGATATATACTGCTAATTGATATGAGTATTTGAGAAACACTGACATCAGGCACTAGTACTTACTAGTGAGATGAAAGTGTTCTGAACAACAGACAGGCGGTTTGAAAAGATTCGACTCAGTTAGTTGAGTCAAGCCCAAAATTATTATCATATTATTATTGTTCCCTTTAGTTCCGAGTGGAACATAGGGCTTCAACAACACATCTCCACTTTGTCCTATCTTCTGCTGTCCTCTTCAGCTTAGACCACGATCGCCCACCATCTCTCATCTCCTCCTCACACGATCTCCTCCATGTCACCCTAGCACCGATGACCCACTCATCACTTCCCATTTGGATTCCACTCGAGGGTCTGGCGCCGTGTCATTCGATGGCCTCCTCAACGTATGCCCGATCCATCTCCATTTTCTCCCACATATTTGTTGAGCGATCGGCTCTTGGTTGCTTTGTTCCCAGAGTTTCTTGTTACTAATCCTTTCTGGCCATTTGATCTTCGGTATGGAGCGAAGGCAACTGTTGATAAAGGTCTGTAAGTTGTTGGAAATCCTTTTCGTTACAAGCTCGCCAAGCTTCTGACCCTTATAGAAGGACCGGCTTCACATTGGTGTTGAAAATCCAGATCTTGTTGTTTATGCTAAGTCAGTGCAGAAGATTTCCAAACTGGTTTCAGGTTGATGAAGGAGTATCTTGCCTTCCCGATTCTGACCTACTTTGACATCTTCATCCGTTCCACCTGTAGTTGAAGCGATGCATCCTAGATAAGTGAAGGAAGTAACCTCTGACAAATCTCTCCCTCTGATGGTGACTGGTGCTGGTTGTTGTTGTTGTGGTCCTGCCTTCGCTGCCGGTCTCTTCAGCCAGTTTGTTGGTTTTCGCCTGCAAGTCTTCGAGTTTTTGTGACATTAAACATAAATCATCCACACGTGAAATCCAAACTTTCTAGAGTCTTCTTATCGGTACAGCACATTCCTGACTCCTCGCTCTCTTTGCCCAGTCTGAAGCATAATCCAGTCCACCACGATTAAGAATATCATCGGTGATAATGGGCAGGCAGTCTTGTCTCATTCCTGTCTGAGCTTTGTATGCTTCGCTGAGTTTCCCAATGTGAATCACTTGACACGTGGCATTGTCATGTATGAGGTCGATAAAGACTCGCGGCACGTCGTAATGTTGAAGTAGTTTCCGAATTACTCCGTGGTCAGCGCTGTCTAGTGAAGTCCTTTTCAAAGTCGATGAAGTTACGATAGAAGTTTGACTGCCATTCTATGCCTTTTTCTATGACGATGCGTAGAGTAGCAATTTGATCAGCACATGATTTGCTTTTCTTGAATCCAGCCAGGTTGTTCCAGGCTGGTGGAGTTCTGCATCCAGTAGATCTTTTATTCTCCCCAGGTTGATGCGACTTAGTATTTTACTTGACATGGACGACAGCACCAGTTCTTGCAGAGGCCCAGCATAACATTTACAAACTCGACCCTACACCAACGAAATGGTTGCCGCCATACAAATTTACTTGCTTTATTGATTATCACTTACGGTATCAAGCAGACTAAATATTGTGATTTTAATGAATTTGGTTTCATAAAGGAAAATAACATGAATTCTCAGCAGGAACTGTGTAATTTGTAAATGACCAATTGACTTCTATGGTAAAATGAGATTAGTAAGCGTATGTAGACCAACTCATACATCCATTTAATTTTTATTTTATCTAAAATATAACGAAAAACGGTTCGATTTTCGGCTGATGCACTTCAAAACTGCCTAGTTTACTAACTACCCGTAATCCCGGAAAAGGAGGCTGGTTAGGCAGCAAGATAGCTACGTCATCCCTTGGAAGAGAAACACTGTCACGGAAACTGCAAATGTTAAAGCTCGGAACTCAAAGAAATGGAGAGTGAGTCTTACGTACATCTCTCTAATGGGTTTTAAGGTACACTAAATATACCTGTTTTTAAGATATTTTGCTGTGCAGTTTCTGTTCGTCAATGAATAAATGACAAGACGCTTTAATAAACTGTCCTATGTAGACTGTTGTTAATACTTTAGTGCTTCTTATTTATCATCTGTATCATAAGATTTGAGTGGTTGTTTTAGTTCTTTGCATACTTATATTACCTGTAGAAATTTTCAACTTGTTCCTTAGGGATAAGTTAGTGTAGAAGAAACAACTCAATCTTCATTTTGGTTAAACTTATTTCTTGTTTTACTGTTTAACTCTAGTTCTTTTTTATCGTTATTTGGAAGATGAAGTAAACAAAATATTCAGTTGGAAAAAAAAGAAAACCGAATAAGAAAAAGTGAAACGGATTGAAAATAATTTAATTAGACTTAACTTGCCCACTTAATGGTCAATAAAAAGTTAGATGTATAAGAAGGTATTGAAAAGTCAAAGTAGAATTTAACATATATATATATATATTTGTTTATTTGCATAACTACTTAAAATTCAAAGTGGATACCAGTTTAAATTACCCCCGCTGAGATGTTGCTCGCATGTCAGTGCATTGATAATATCTTTTTGTTTGTATGCACACTAGCGCATCACTTAACCATTCTTTCTAGTGAAGGGAAAAAGATAAGTGACCGGTACAAGAAATGTCGTACTGCCTCTTTGTCTCTCTCTCTCTCTCTGATGATCAGCATTTCTCCCTCACCCTTAGAAAAATTATTCAGTCATTTTATTTATTTACATACAGAAAGAAATATATAATTATGTATGTGTTGTTAATATACCTACTAACTGATTCCAAGAGTTTCAAATGAAATCTTTAAATTGGCATGAATACTCAATACAATATAAAGTTTAGTCCAGTCGCCTTCTTTGCTCACGCATACATACATACAATGTAAAAAGTCTAACATAACAGAAGAAGCAGTTAATCGTTCCCTAGGGTGGTAAGAAATATGTTGAAGAGAATAGCTGATTAAAAAAGAAGACGAGAAAGAAGAAAGAGAAGAAGAAGAACTAAAATGAAGTAAACTGAAGCAGTGTAAACGACTGAAAATACTCTGCTGCTGCTGCTGCTTCTGGACTATTCTAAGAACAACAATAATAAAAAGGTAAGAAAATTATCATCAATGGAGAAAAAGAAAGCATCAGTTAGTGCATTTTCTGCTGAAACTTGAGAAGGTAATAAGATAGTATGCCATGTGTATGTGCACAGAATGAAGTCATTTAAAGATTATGAAGAGGACAGTCAAGTAGATAAATACTCCTTTTTCCTTTACTTCAAGAAAAATAAATTGTTTCTACAAGAGAGTGATGGTAAACTGACCTAGTTTTTAAAAAAAAATATTATTATTCCCATCTCTTTCTCACTCCCTCTGTGTTTCTCGGTCTGTGGAATTTTAGCATCATTATTTCAGTGATATTAAAATGTCTTTTATGAGCACATATACTGTCCCCTATGTTAAATTTTCACTCCATGTTGCATTAATTTGGAATTTGTGAGAAAAAATCTGTTATTTTCAGTGTTTATCTCATTTGAACTCACTAGTAGTCGACTTTAAATGGAAGGGGAAAAAAAAGCTGTGAAACGGAAGACTGATGATTCATTTTTGCGAAAGGGAGTAATTTTATCTGTGGGACTATTAAGATATTTTCTTTTCCTTGAGTGTTTTGATACATGTTGTTTTCGTTTTAAAGGCAGTTTACTCTTTTAACTGGGTACAACTGAATTCTATCAGTGAAAATCAGAAAGTTATGTATACCAATTTGGTATCGCTACGAAAATATATGATAATAAAAGGACCGTTATTACTACTATTGCTGTAAATAATAACAAAAGTAGCAATAGCAGTAGTGGAATTCTGGTAGTATCAAGACGTCTTCACAAAGAACGCATACCGATCAGCTGACTTTAGGTGAAGGTAAACTAGACAACCATGAAAGTGGTAGCAGGTGTTCGACGTCTCTGGTTACTGTCTACTCTAAACCGACTGTTACACTATGATATCATAGTTACCTGGTTTCATTTTAGTGCAGAAAAGTTACCTTAGCACTGAAGTACATATTATACACATACAAGTCACGAATGACAGAGGATAAGTGATATAACTTTAAATCAGTATTCACATCATAAATACCGATAAAATGTCCTACTCTATATTAAATGTTTCATTTTTCTAAGTCAACTTATTATTTTCCCATTAAGAAACAATACATTTAGACTATGGGACTTGTGCGGTATATCACAAGTTGACAAAGCTACAGATGACTGGATTCCAGCTCAAGTAGCTGAACAAGTAACAAGCTTCGTTTCATAAAGTGTTTTCAGGAGAAAAAAAACCTTATCCTTTCTGTCTGTTAACAAATAAGAGACATTTGTAACCTTGGTGGTGTTGACAGTTTTCTGAGAATCACCTTTGTTTTAAAGTGTTATCTTAACCGCTTTACTGATAAGAAATATAAAGGAGATTCCAATCGTATCACTAATTCACTTCTAAATAACACAGTCTTCGTAAATGTAGACTTTAGGAGTGACTAGTTAACAGAAGTAATTAAGGGTCATTTTTTCAAACCATTCGGTAAACGGTTTTTCATAGACAAACTTCAAATGAAATTTGCGTGTTCTGCACTATTCTAAATCTGTGTAATAAAAACTAAGTGTATGCTCTGGGCTCCTTTATCCGCATATACCATTTTGCTTGATCCACGGAAACTAGATATATTTGGTATAGTCAGAGAATTTTTTTTCTATACACATGAGGTTACATTCCAGTAGAATTAATAAGAACTAATGGAAGACAGTTCTCTTCTACAGCATCTGATGGTCCTATATCATTCCACCAATCCTGGGGACAACTTTGGGTAGGTCTGTTATATCCCTTTAGATTCACTTTCTTTTTTCGGTTCTTACGTCTTAAAACGGTTAAAAGCTTAGGTTATACTAAACTGAAGTCTAATTATTATGTGAAGAAGTCCATGAAGTCTGGTTAAGGCCATGGTTTACTCTTTTCACCAAATTAATTATTGTAGCATCCGTCTATTAGTATTACTGTCATTACTATTTTCAACCCTAACAGTATTACCTGGCTTCACTGATTCAGCAGTTCTTGAAAAGTACTTCATTCTATTTTAGGCAACTATTCTATTCTGTTTCATAATACTCTATTTGTTTACCAGTGCTAATAGTATAATACTTCTTTTTTTCACAACCCTCTTCCACTTACCATCCGTAGGTATTACTCCAGATCTAACGACATTGTGTTATTTGTACTCAGCCTGGTTTAACTTAAGATTGTCATCTCAATGGTAATAACAACAATAATTTACTTTGTGAAGAATAAAACTCACTTGTATTCTAGCCTCATTTAATTTTGTCATCCTTGCTAACTCCTCACGACAGTATATATCTGGATAATGAGATTTTTGAAAAGCTGACTCCAACTCTTGTAATTGATCTTGTGTAAATGTTGTGCGGTGACGTCTTCTTGCTGGTGTCGGACATGAATTTGTTGTAGCTGTAGTTACCGTTGCACCTGAATAATGACCGCTTGTAGCAATCAATGAAGTGTGTTTCATTCCACTTGATGAAGGACTTTCATCTGTTGACATGGAGTGTAATGAATCAGCACTACTTGGTGAATGTAAATTACTCGATGAAATCTCATGCCCTAGGGTATATGGATTATTAGTGGCTGAAGAGTTACGATTCAGTGAAGTGGATCGTAGCTGATGCATTGTATTGGATAAACAACCCATTCCGTTCAATAGTATTGGTGGTTGTGGAAGTTGTGATTGTTGTATTGGCGGTCCTATTGCTGTTGAACTGGATGACAGGGATGCTAATGGTGGATTAGGAAACAGAAAACCTGTTGTCGAATTATTAAAATTAAAACCGGTTAATGATTTAACAAAAGATGAAGCAGCAGCAGACAAACTCTGTTGTGTAATCGGGTCGAACGGAAGTCCAGTCTCTGAGGGATCTATGGACAACATTTGATGATGGTGATGTGGGTATAACTGTTGAGGGTGTATATGATGATCATGCTTTCCATTCTTATTAGATGGAAATGTGTGATCTGAACTAGAATCTTTTGTGTTATTAGCAGTAGTTGTGACTGCTGTCGATGATGATGATGATGATGTTGATGACGCCAGTGATGAGGAGGATGAGGAAGATGGACAATCTGGATGAGGTAAATTGTTAAAAGGATAAGCTGAATTTGGTCGCATAGGGCTTGAATTATTATGCGATGGTTTCATCATTTCAGATGTACTGCCTAAAACAATCAGAAAATTATGTGTTTAATAAATTATTATATGATCATATTTAAAATGAGATATTTAAGAAAAGTAAGACAGAATATAATTGGAATTTACTGCCTATGGGCATCCATATGCAGTTATTCCCTAGATTCAGTAATAACTGGTGGAGGCTTCACCTTAAAATGAGACACAGTTTCCTCAAACTTTCAGACACACTACAATGATGATGAAATGTGAATTGTAAAATGGTGTCAAAATATTGATTCTTATTGTCTGATGTCAACAAGTACGGTGTCAGCAAAAATTCATCGGGAAATTAAGCAGAAGTTGTGCTAGTGATACCTAATTCGATGAACAAACGTTACCTAGTGAAAAAAGAAGGTACAAAAACCAATTTACTTATAATACAAAGCTTCATCGGTCTCTCATTTTTGTCTTCAAGGTATAGAGTATACTAAATGATTAGTTTTTGATGCCTATTATTAATTATTTACAGGAGTAGGTGTGTAGGGATTTTATTTATTCTTCAAGTTTCACCAGGGATTGATATCAGTTGGAGAACGATTGAAAGCCAGGGAGTGCTGAACAGCCAGCTGTCTCGTCCCAGTTTGAGAATCATCAGCACTACTCACCCACTAAGTTTCGAACCCAGAACTTTCCAGTTACAAGGCAAGCTCGTAGACTATTCAGCCTCTGGGACCCGACCCACGGATTCTAACTTCCACTAATTCTGGATGTATAGAGCGATCATCAGCCAGTGTCATCCGTGGCGAATATTTGTCCTCACTCCCAAAAGGATGGACGCTACTGATTACGACTTCTCACTAGAACTCCAGGAAACTCCGTCCTGCAGCCAGTCACTAGTGAGCATCAGATTAATTTTCAAGAGTTTTTTCGTAGGTATTTAATTTAATTTTCAATTTCGACCACGGATTGTTTTATATCCCCTCTACCTCGGTAAAATCCGTGTAAATTCGTACTGTATTTTGTTACAAGAATTGGTAAACAGTTGTTTTGCGAGGTTCTATACAGTAGTTTAAATTTTATAAACCCCTCAGTTCACCAAAAAGTACCCATAGTTTTGATGACACTAACCATAGTCCCATCAACTAAGGGTTAAATATATACCATGTTAAGTATTGAACTACATATTATTTTGGTAGTTTGAAGATAACTAAATGAACTTCATCTAGTATTTGCAAATCATGTCCTACATTTACAGTTAACAGTTTTATTGTGAATTATGGCCTTAACTTTGACTGAATACTTGAGAAATGCTTCAGTAACAAATCATTGTTCACTCAGTTGTATATGCATGTATGCCTCAAAACCAAAGTCATTACTGAGATAGTAGTCGACTTACCATGCCCTTTTGACATTATTTATTTTTAAATGAACTAAGTACTTATGCTTAAAGCATCGGTGGTTCAGAAGTAGAATGTTCACGCACTCTTAAACCCCGCCTAGTTTACTAGTTGGTTATAAGCCAGAAAAATAGGGAAGGTTGGGTGTATCGCTAGCAACTCTACCCCTTAAAAAACAACTCTGCTAATAAACTTCAAAGTTTCAAGCCCTATTTCCCACTCAGAACACAAAAGAAGGAGACTGTTGTGTAAATATGACAATATTTCAACCAACTAAATGAGCTATTAATTAATCTAATATTTTTATCATTTAAACAACCTCTCTTATCTTGAGAAGATAAGTAATTTAGTAAAAAAACTCAGCAAATGCAATTCATTCATTGAAACACAACCACACAATAGGGTGGGAGAGGGTTAAAATTCTAAAAAGTAATCTAGGTAGGTGGAGAGAGAGGTCGGTTACGGAATCCTTGTTCATCGAATCTACACCCAACACATGCAATAGGAATGAATCATCACTCATACCTGAAATATGGAAAATACTACTACCAATCAAATCAAGTGAAAATCAAGTGAAAAACAACGGAACTATATAAATGAATTTAAGAAGTCGTGTGATTACCTTGATATGATTATGAGTAATAAATTGTGCTCGAAACGTCATCAGTAAACATTACTGTATAACACTGTGAGACTTTATCAAAACAAATTTACCCATAATGAAATTACACTGTACCACAGTTCACAAGTTTTATTCTTATATCAGTTTTGAACACGCGTTTGAAAAGTGAAGACTGCAGAACTACTTACTCTTCTTGTATTGTTACTTATTACCCCTCATAGGGATTTTTCATTCTGGTATACCTAATCAAATTTCTTTGAGAACCAAGGATAAATAGGGGTTTCATTTTCTCAGTATTAACATAAAATATTTTATTGTCAAGTCTTGTTTTGTTCCTACAGTCATTGTGTAATCTCTGGGTCATACTAAGAAGAAACCAGTAGTAGTTTTGACCCCTTCTCTAATGAACTATACCTAAAAATTGTCAATAAATGTCAAGAGTATGCACAAATCTTCCAGTTGACTACTGCAAGTCAACCAACATCAGACGAGAATGCATATAAACGTTATGCTAACTTATGACTACACTTTTCCACTTGATCGATAAGATCTTAATGTCACGTGGAAGTTAAAGTATATTATTTGGTTCATTCTTCAGCTTCACTTAACCTTTACTGATTTTTATTTATTATTTTATTCCTTTGCCTTCCGAGTGGAGTATAGAACTTCAAGCTTGATCCTTGAAGTTTTCTTAGTGGTGGTGTTTATTTTTAACGGGGTGAGATTTTAGCCTCATACCCAAACTTCCCTCTTTACTGGGCTTATTACTGGCTAAGCGAGGTTCAGGAGTACATCAGCTGGGGATCGAACCCCGGACCATGTGCATGGTTCTCCACCAGTTTGCTGAAATTATTATTTTTAATTTCCAGCCGGCTGGTTTTATTAGACAGAAATAATCAACTTAAATTGAAAGCATCCTCAAAGCCTTCGTAGTAGAAGTCGGTATGCCAACAGAGATACAGCATTTTTATCTGCTAGGATCAATAAGCGATAAATTCAGAACAATAATTTCTACAGATAGCAACTGATCCCCTTTGCTTACGAAGTGATTCTCATTGCCTAATGGCTTAAAATGATGTTTACTCAATTTGAATCTCGGTGAGAATCCCATCTTTTAATGGGGATCCAGGTACATCAAGCTGGCTAGTCCTAAACAGAACGAAACACGCCTCTCCGATTCTACTGCTAACTGCCATAATTCCAAATAGTCTTTCCTAAGTCCACACACTTAGAGGGAATTTTATGGGGTTTTCAACTACAGCTGAAGCTGTCTACATTTATTCTACTCTTTTTTATTTTATTGTGAACATAATTTCAATGACTAAAAACAGCTTTTCACACTGATGAAGATGACATATATGTATTATTTAGCTGTGGGGTGAGAGAAGTGTTTATTTTTCCATTTAACATCATGCTGAAAACATTACACAAGACAGAAAAGAAAAAAACAGACATCTGACTATTGAATCATCCAGTTCAAAGAATTCCAACATCAGTCACGGGATGTTTTCTTTTGAAGAAATCTTTCGTCTTTTTACACTTATTCAACCTTTGTTTTACTGACAGTGTAAAATCTATTAGCAAACTCATACATATATATACACACACATTTATATATATGAGCGCATACACTCAGACACTATTCAACCAAAATTAAGGTGAATTCGTTTGCAGTGATCAGACAGAATAACAGAATGACCTTACTGAGACAAATTAATAATAATATAATCAAGTCATAACTTATTTTACCATTATTATTATTATTATTGTTATTACTACTGTGATGACAGCAACAACTACTACTCTTATTGCAGCGATAACCACGTAAACAATATACTGCAAGTGGTAATAACAACACTTCACAATTCATTGAAGCGATTCCTTTTAAGAGGCAACAAAGAAAGGAAATATAAATCGATTCTTTTTTCTTTTTCTTATTTGAAGAGGAAAATACTCTTTTTTTTGTAAGAAACTGATTTTGTTATGCCCCTTTTTAATAATTTACTGGGACTAAATGAATATTTATTCATTGTTCTGGTTTCGGGTTAACGCAGAGATTTAAGATATACCGCCGATTTCGTACTAAATTCCTCAAATGTATTAGGTTAAATGAGGGAATTCGCCTTGAGACAGTTAAGTTAAAGGATGGCTGACTGTTGTGACCATGAAGCCATATACTACTGACTGGATGAGTTGATTAGTAGTATACTACTAACACCAATCAGCAGCGGTTGCCAGTCAGGTCGAATTAAGCAATTTCGATTTCTGGAGGAAACTATGGTGAGATTTTACCTCGAACTGTACAAACTGCAAAGTGACTTGCGAATTGTGAGTTTGATTCATGTTATCATTAGTCCGCCCAAGTAGCTAGCCAGAATTCGGGTAGTTGTTCTGATTTCTGTTGACCACGCTTCCTACCGCGGTGAGAGCTGGCTGCTAGCCAAAGTTGGTAGACAGTAATTGACGTCAATGTTTATGTCCCCAATATTGGTGGTGAGAAAATGAGAACAAAAGCTTTGCGTAGGCGGATACAGTTAGCATATGGATTATCTGACACAGCCACAAATAGATGCAAGGTTAACTTTCTGTGAGAAACAACCAATCAAAAGACTATAATTTCTACTAACAATAATCTACAATAATGTACATTAAAATCTATAAATATGTGTTGATTTTCCTTAATAAACGATCTGTTGCCTGGCCCTTGTCTTTTGTTGTTACACTACTACAATTTGAATTTAAGGTTTTTAGGACTCCTAGTTTCTGACTAAACATAAATTTTTCCAGCTAACAAATCTCCATTCAGAGCAAATGTCTGTTCGATACCTCAGTGCTAAGTGCAACTACGATTATATACTCATAATTTCTTTTTCATCTGAAGTAATAACGCAATGATAAATTCTATTATTTCAACCCTCACTAAGTCATGTTTGATTACCTGGGAAAATTTTAAGTTTTATAAACTTCATAGACAGTATTTGCACCTAAGTTAAAACAGTTTTGAAATCCGGTTCGATCAGGGTTTTGT